TTAGTGTGTCAGTGGTTAAAATGATAGTGGCATAAAGAGACCGAGGGCTGCCAAACCAAAATAACAAGAAATTGTCTCTGAAGGCACTCCTAACACATTGTTTTGACAGATGTGCAGTTCCTCATTAACAGTGAGTTACATGGAAGAGCATGCTTCTGCAGCAACCTCCCTGGCCTGGGAGTTGGTGGAAATTTGTGATCATATACTCACAGAATCATAGAAGAATTAAGGTTGGAAAAGACCTCTAAGTTCATCTAGTCCAACCCCAAGACATCCCCACTATGCCCACTGACCACATCCCTCAGTGACATATCAGTTCTTTTCTTGAAAACCTCCATGCATGGTGACTCCACCATCTCCTGGGCAGCCTGTGCCAATAAACATGAATGGACTGAGTAGAGACGGTGCTGTAGAAACAGCTGTCTTTGTAAGATCAGATAATTTTCTGGCTGCTGCAAGTTGAAAGGATGATGTTGAACATATAAATAACACCTTCTGCAACTGTAGGCCTTAGCAGGACCGAAGGGGATGTATATCAGCCACCACACTCATGTGGCCTTCAGCCTGGGAATCCTGACTCACTTGCATCCCTAATGCGTGCTGTGTGTCCACCTCTTGATTCAGGTGGATGAGCTTCAGACCACTTACCAACAGCCTTGAGTGTCAACTGGGATAATTTACACTGCTCTGACACATTCCCTGTGGGAAAAGGAAATAGCACCAAAAAAAAAAGCAAAAAAAGCATAAAAAGCTAAATACAGCTTTATAGGATTGCTGCTTGTGTTTCTGCCTGATTTCTTTGGAGTTGGTTTCCTGACAAAGTAGAGAGAAACCACTGTGTTGGATGTGAAGTACAGCCTGTGCAGTGCCCAGACTGCCTGCTGCTTTGTATTTATTAATTGAGAAATCCTTGGGCAAATTGCCACCAGAACCACAACGCTGTTGATAAACTCAGCGGTTGCTGGTACTTCAGCAGCATGCAAAGAAGCTGAACGAGACTGATTACACTGCAACTATATCTGCAGAACCTTGATTATATGACTTGCTTCCTAATTAAACATCTAAATATCCTTTTATCGAGGAAAGTAAAGTTGAAGGATCTTCAGTTACAATGCCTTATGTAGAATAACAGAGCCAATGTGAAAAATTCCTGCGCTATACAGACCTTGGGTGGGCCAAGCTCTCTCCAAAAAGCTGGTCGGAGAGGTTTGGCGCAACAAACATATCCAAAATCTTGTCGCTCATTCAGGGTGAAGGCAAAATGAACTCATGTGGACGAAGCAAAATCAGCTTTTGTCTCATCTTTTAGTTCAGACTGGGACAGAATGACAGCCAGGAGTGATGGGCACAGCAGGGTGTCTGTTGACCTGGACACAGGGATGAAAACCTCTGCTCCAGTAATTATTCCAGTGACTCCTGCAGGACTGATTGCAACACACTCGTCACGTGGAGAAGGCAAAGTGAGAGGAGGGAGGGCTTCTTTTTTTAATTTCTTTTTTGTGTTCTCCCAGCCCCTTGTCTCTCTCCAACACTGAATCAGACATGTTGCAAGCATACTCAAACACAGAAATTACCATATGGGCTCAGCAGGATATCTGGGAATGATTTTCCCTATCATAGCTACACATTACGTCTCGTCCTGATCTCCAGCATTTAACAGCATTATTTCTGATGTGAATAATTAAAAATCAAAGTAAAATGGTACTGCAGTTTTTTCTGTGGAGCAGCTGAAGTATGTTGCCCTGAGAATAAACGACTATAAACTGTCCGTCAATAACTTCAAACATAATGATTAGGAGTAGAGAAAGTCTGGAAAAGGTTTCTGATGGGTGCCATAAGCCGAGAGTTACTGCACTGTCTTTTGTATTAAGGCTAATGCATACAGAAACGGGTCTGATTGCTGAAACAAGACTGGATTTAATGCCTACTGCACCCCTCCTTCTGGGTCATCATCCAGCAGATCTCCATGCTTCACTGGCAGTTTTCAGGACTGTCATTTCAAGGAAACGCAGACTTTGTGAATTCTCTTAATATCCTGACTGGTTGAGTTATGTGAATATATTACTCTATGATCATACTCAAATCCATGCTTGGGAAAGCTGGTTGCCATTAGCACTTTCCATTGCATTTAACAGAGATCTGTCTATTTGTAGCTGAGGCCAAATAATATCTACAGAATTGTTTCACACAAGTTCACATCTTAATTCTAAAATAGAATCTTACCTTTCTTTCCATATGTCTCTTTTTTAGAAAGAAGAGGCCACCACAGAAATATGGTCCATTATTACAGTATCTGTGGTACAACAGATGGCGCTTGCAAAATTAAGGGGACAACAGAATCGCCGAATGATTAAGACCAGACATAATCAACTAATGGGCATACAGTTTAGCTCCAAATTTAGTGGTGAAAAGAATCAGAGATGAAAAGAAAGAACAAAAATAGTGAAATAAATTACATACTACTGGGCTGTTAAATATTATTACTGTATGAGCAGCCTGTAGTACATATGATACTACGAGCAGTATATCTGGGCTTTGTATGATGGTTTAAAGGAAACCATGGTCACTTAAAGTTATCAAATTTGCTTAAATAACAAAAACAGATACAATAGCATCCTAAAAGCACATTTCTCAAGAAGAAAGCAGGCTGCAAATAGTTCAGTAATTCCCAAGGAGGTGGTCGGGGCTGATTGTGCTATTTAAGCGATGTGTCGCACAGGTTTACTAATGTCTGCCTGCTGCATTTTAAATTACCAACCACTGCCAGCCATTGTTTTATGCAATTTCCCCTCTGGACAGATATATTTATTCATGTAAATATATGAGTCTCCCTCAGCTTTGTGGGACTCACTAAACAGTGTATTTCTGTAGTCAACTTGCACCAAACACACCCCATGCATGCTTCTTAGAGCTTCGCTCAGACATACCATGACTGAGTCACTTGTGAACCTAACAAGGGGCAAGGAGAAGTTGCTAAATGCCATAGTTGGCCAGCAAACCTCTGTTAAGAGCAGAAGGGCTACAGTGGTGTTTGGAGGAGCAGAAGGGGTAACGTTGCTGCTTGCTCCAGGCTCCTGCATGGTGTTCGTGTTGTAGGAAGCAGTGGATCTGTGAAGCTGAGATGCTGGGGCAGAAGCACTGAGCACAGCATTCATCAGTGTGAGGTCAGTGAGAACGACGTTGAGCCAATGGACCTGAGCAAGGCCAGGTAAGGGTAAAGTCACATCTCTGTCACAGAACTCAAAAGGCAAGAGGGTAAGAGTAGGAAGGAGAATCATAAAATAGAATAACAGAATATCCCAAGTTGTTAGGGACCAATAAGAATCATCGAGTCCAACTCTTGGCTCCACAAGGACCACCCAAAAAGCAAACTCTAGAGAGTGTTGTCCAAATGCTTCTTGAACTCTGGCAAGCTCAGTGCTGTGACAATAGCCCTGGTAAGCCTGTTCCATGCCCACTACCTTCTTGGTGAAGTACCTTTTCCTGATAACCAATCTGAACAGGAGAGGATCCATCCCTTTTCTGACAACAACCACTGTAATTAGTCTGAGGACAAGGTAGTGAACAAGACTACTGCAGAGCTGATGGGACACTGCCAGCTGATGTTCATCACATTTTGATACTGCTGGAGCAAAAACACATGGAGCAACAACATGCTTAGCCATAGGATCATGCCAGGAGCCAGTGTTCAGACAGAGAACCTCACAGCCTGCACAAAAACAGCAATGATACCAAAGGACTGGTATGACCAAGGCTTAAATCCTACTATTTCTCTCATTCAGTTTTGTCCTCTGTTTGAATAAGCACTGAAAGCTTTGTAAGATGAAGACTTCAGCATACAGTGGATTTCTGAGCAGAGTTGTTACCTGGTGCCTGGGGCAAAAGCAACCCTTGGGACATTTCACAGGATGTAACGTCTGACTTGATGATGGAAGCAAAGAAGTCCTGACAATGGCAGATTTAGTCTTTTGAATTTACTGATAATGCACTCTCCTCCAATAAATCACAATTCTGCTTCACCCACTTAGATGGCTATTCCATATATTGCTGACATATAACAAAATGCAAATCTCCCATAAAAGTAAAAGAAATGTAAATTGTGTTCTGATAAGCAAAGAGGAAATTCAGAATCAAAGCAGATTTTGAACAGATTTAGCTCACCAACCCAAATCTTGGCAATCCTTACCCCTAGGGGTCTGGTCCTTTCTCTCATCCCAGCCCTGAGAGGAATCCAGGCAGCAAACAGGGATCCCCAGTGCATGGTTTCCAGAGCTGGCAGCTCAGGCAAATGGTGCAGATGAAAAGAATCCAGTCTGCTTTAATTCATCCCTGGCCCTCAGCCCTCCCTAAATCATCAACCTGTACAGTCAGCCCCAGCCTGCCTGCACATTCATATAAATCAAGCCTGAACAAAATGTTGACAGAAGAGCTGAGTTTTGTGCACTAATTCAAGAAGCAGCCCAATTGATGGGATGTCAAATCTAAGTGCTTTCTTCCTCCAGCTCCCCATTTCACCTAGCTGCTCCATTCCAGCACAGCCAGCATCCTATAACACAGGGTAAGATGTGATGGGTAGACCCAGGTTGTACAGTCAAAATGCAAAAATCCCCAAATCCCCTCCACACTCTTGCTTTATGAGATGCTGTGCATGACAGATGAGCACTGTGGCAAGGGTCAATGCTATTTCAATGCTCTAATTATAGTGCTGGGGAGACTGGAGGCTGCCAGGATGGATATAGGAATAAAGAATCCTCCTGTGGCACGAGAGCCACTTGTTTTCTTCTTGGTTGCTTAATAGGCCCAGGGACAAATCCTTTGAGGAAGGAAAAGCAACTTTGAGGCTATAATTGAGCCCCAGGAATGCCAAATGTATATATAATTAGACACTTAGGAAAAAGTCAAGGAGCCTTGTGTTTATCGTGCTGGCTCCGTCTCCTGCACTTTTGGCACTGTGGTTTCTCAGCTGAGCTGCAGGCAGTTGCTGGCTGTTAAATAGCCTTCACCAGGACAAGCAGCTGAGGAATCCCTGCGGCTCACTCTGCGCTGTGCTGCCGGTGGGTATTGCTCTTCCAGGGGGCTCAGGCAAGTATATCACTTTATACACACTGTGCTATTCCTCTCTGCTACTTGCTCTATGCTCTTCTCTACTTCACTACAAAGACCTTACAGGGTTGCTCCTGGGTATTATGGGATTTATAGCAGCACTTCCCACAGTTTTTATGCTCTGATTTTTCCTGGTGTGTGTCTCTGGACAGCTGTGAGTCTGCAGAAGCCTCCAGCAGCACATCTCAGAGCCAGGGAAACAGGGGGTTCTTGGGGAGGCAGAAGCACTCAGACAGCCCCAGCTCTGTTTCTGCCTTGCAGAGTGGAGTCAGGTGAGCCACTGTGAGCCTGTTGCCTCAGTTTCCCCTTCTGGCAGATGGAAAAAGCAGCAGAGAGTCAGGTGGGTGAAATGGTCTTAAGGACTTGGATGAAAATAGCAATTAGAGCATAGCAAGTGTCTCAGAAATCATGGAATCACTTGAGTTGGAAGGGACCCTTAAAGGTCATCTAGTCCAATTCCCCTGTAATTTTTTTTTTTCCTGTAGTTCAAACAATCACACCTGGCATTGAGAAGTTTTCTTTTTCCAAATGTGAGTGATAGGAAATTGCTGGTGTAATGCCAAGTACAGGAGAGTACAGGAGAGGGTGCGAATGCACAGGAGTCCTCCCTCAGTGGTCAGCATGGCTGTTTGGCTTTATTCCACCCTATTTACAAATTATTAAACAGATTGACCACCACTTCATGTTTTGAAAGAAGACAATCCATTTTTATTACTTTATTAACCTTTTTTTTTTTTTTTTAATTTAGCCCAGTAATAAAACTACTCAACTGTGTGTTAAAATCTCGATTAAAATTTGCTTTAGCTCCAAGTGCCACACAGAGAAATGCTCCAGTAGTTAGATATCTACATTGGCTTTCTGGTAAAAGCTTTGCTCTGCTATCAGATTCTGTTATGCGGTACATAGATCCCTGCTTTACAGACAGAACCATTTCAGGAGGTAGTTTGAAAGCTTTCAGGCTCTCCCAATGATTGCTTTGCTTTTCTTTCACGGCAATTACAGTCCCTTGATTTAATTTCAATGGAAACTTTAGTGTTTTAGACCTTGCCCATGCAGCTGAATGCTCATCTCTGGATCTTATTTCCAGTCCTCAGGAGGACAGGTTTTGATGACCTAGTCTGATTACAGCATCTTTGACAGCTTTAAAGGAATTTGCTCGAGGGAAGGCGACAGCTGCTGCTCTGATGAAGGATTTTTCTGAGCAGGCCTCCCAAGCAAGACGTGTCAGGATGAGACGCAGCCTTCGCTTTTCATCACGACCAACAGGTATGTCTGAAAAAGGTTTTGTGCTCTTCCCTGCATAGGCCAGTGTGGAGAGAGTCTCCATCATAAAAACTGCTTCACCTCCTTCTGTCAAAACTCTGCAGCTTCCCTTACATTTTATGGAAACCAAGGGCCAGGTCGTTATTCTTATGCATTGCTGTTTTGGGCAGGCACAGTCTATTCACCAGTATCTGTAGATTTGTAAGGCTCTGGTCTTAAGCAAGACTATGAGCAAATTTTTTTATGATTAATAAAATGATTTGAAGTCTATTAGGCTTTTTTGAATGGAATCAGAATAGAGGTACTATGACAGGCTGCTCCTTTAGAGCCTGCCATTACATTAGTATTGAAAACAATGCAGACATTTCAGATCCTTGACCATTCCCTTTGTACCGAAAGGAGTTCTGGACACCTCACAGTGCATGGATCAGGAAAGCTCTATGTGCCTGTCAAAGAGCTACCCACAAACCCAGGAATCTCCATCCTGCTTATATAAAGTGCTTGTATTGAATGGAAGTGAACTAATTGTTTTGCAGTAAATATTCATTACAGTATCTGAAATTACAAAAATGTGTGTATTAATCCTGGAGCAGATGCTTTGTTTATTTGAAGAGAAAAATTTGGTTGCTCCTTTTGGGTGTGCACACTCCTAGGGTCAGAGATGCTACTGTATGGCATACTGGGCAGGACCCAGATTTGGGGAACTCATCCTCAAGGCATCACCAGTCTTGGCTTTGAGCAAAGAAACTCTCCTGGAAATAGGTGATTTGAAGGACTGAGGACTTCTTAGCACAGTATATTATACTGTTCAGGGCCAGCCCATCTCCTCTACTACATGCTGCCCAAAATCCAGCATTGGGCTGTAAAGTTACGATGACAAAAACCACAAGTGCCACCTGACCACATTCCCCTGCTCTTTCATTCCATATTTTGCTTCTTTAAGTTGCATATCTCTATAAAGGCAGGAAGCAGTGCTGTTTCTGTCTCTTGCAATCTTTGATTTCCTCTTGAACATGACGGAGGTGAAGGTGTCCTTTCTGAGATGTCAGTGGGGCCTCCTTCCTAAGCTAGTTTGAAAAGATCCTCTTCTCTTGTTGTCTCAGATGTGCCTTCTGTAGGTGTGTTAGCTGAAACATTTTGCATCCAAGAAAACTTGTATGCTTAAAGAAAGCATATATTTCTCAATATGATCACCTATTTAAATCAGCACCTGGTTTGCCCACCAATCTTTAGTAGCAGCCAAGTCTTTAGCACTTGCTGTCACCATGTGACTGTTCAGTATGGAGAAGACGAGGCTCAGGGCAGACCTTATCACTCTCTACAGTACCCTGAAAGGAGGTCGTGGTGAGGTTGGGATTGGCCTCTTATCCTAAGTAACATGAGAATGAGAGCTAATGGCTTTAAGCTGTTCCAGGGGAGGTTCAGGTTGGAAGAATTTATTCTCAGAAAGAGTGGCAATGCATTGGCAAAGGCTGCTCAGGGAGGTGGTGGAGTCACCATCCCTGGAGCTGTTCAAGAAATGTAGAGATGTGGCACTGAGGGACGTTGGTCAGTGGGCATGGTGAAGATGAGTTAGGGCTGGACTGGGTGATCTTAATGGTCTTTTCAAGCCTTCGTCAGTCTATAAATCTATGACAAGCCTCTCAGCACAGCCCCGTGAGTCCAGGCCAGAGGGGCAGATGAGGGGCTTTGGGATTTAGAAATGAGAAACAGGTATCTTATATCCAGAGACTGCTGGATATGAAGAAAATTCATTTAAAGAAAAGGAAGTGTGAAGGAGACAGATACTTTCTTCATTCATGTACTGCAAGCAAATTGTATTATTCAGAAGACTATGCTTTGTGTCATTGCACTGTGAGTGCAAAAATGCTAGAAATTCACCAGTTGCAATAAACTAGTGACAGCAGAAAAGCCAGTGGGAATGTGACAGATGAAATTACTTGGCTGTTGGGAAGAAGCCAGTAAAACTATATAGCTCAAGAGAGCAGAGTGCCAACAGAATCACACAGAATCACAGAATCACCCGGGTTGGAAGGGACCTCAAGGATCATGTAGTTCCAACCCCCCTGCCTAGCAGGGCCACCAAACACACACATTCAGATCAGTGCCAACCTTGCAGTCAGATTGTGCCCCTCATACTAATGTGACTTCAACCAGAGGAAAATAGAAATTAGTTTTCTAGTCAGACAATAAACTTGATGCCTGTGTTTGGGGCTCTACAATTCCTTGCCCCAGCCCCTGTTTCTTATTACTTCACTTAAACAAAGAGTAAATGCTAACAAAATTCCATTTGCTGAAGTATTTTTGTTGAGAAGTAATTAGAAAGGCAGCTTGACCCCAAAGAATCCTAACAGATAGGTCTTTCTTATTCTGTCAGTCTAACAGTTGTGAGTAGCAGACATAGAGTCCTGCCTGAGTTCCATATGCAGAGCTCTTCATGGGCATCATCAGCACCTCATGCAGTGGGGCAGGATCAGGTCTCTTTTTTGTTGTTCAGATAGTTTTTGAGCAAACATGCATATGAACAGAGGAAAACTTCTATGTAAAGAAGTTTTATAGCATCCCATACTAATAGCATTTCATTTGGACCATCAAAAATGTCAATTGTGGAAACTGACACCATTTCTCAGATCTACAAATATCTCTGCAGCAAGTGACAGAGTTTGCCAAAATCAGGAGTGTCAGGAAGAGATGTTTCAGTCCTACAGCTTGAGGGCTGCTGAGCTGGAGTCACAAAAGCAGGAGAGGTCTTTTTCTGGACATGAATGACATCACGTCACTATTATCTTTACTTCAGAGCTGGAATGATTCCTTTGTCTCAGTGTTGTCCAAAAGGGATGTCATTTTTTCCAGCTCTGCAATACACAGGGAGAAATACTAGCCCTAGGTAGAGAGCATAGGAGCATTCCAGTCTCAATATTTGTACCTAGAGATGTTTGCTACAGCAGGTGTGATGTCTGAAAAAGAGAAGGCAAGGCATCAAACAGGATCTGCTTGAGTCAGAGAATGGCCATATAGCCAAAATCATGACAGAACAAGAGTTTAGTTTCAATCCTTCCCCCTTCAGACACTATTAATTCACAAACTCCATAGCTATCCTATGAAGCTTATTTCTTCCTTTTGCATTTGCCTAGCTTTAACAGAAAAAGTATTGTTATTTTCACTTTTTCACTGGGGAAATTGATTGAAAGGCATCATACAGTTGAGATGATGAAAAACACACTGATGAAAGCTCTGCATTAAAATTAAAACTTAAAAAAGATGATTTATTGAAAAAGAACTGATTCTCAGAAACATACTAATTTAGGGCAAGTCATTCCCAGGTCCTGCACCAAATTCCTGATAAGAATGAATGAGAGGGAAGGGAAAAAGTAGAGGAAAGGCTGTGCCTGTTACAAGGCAGCTGGTTTACACCTAAAGCCCATTTACAGATCTGGTCTAAACCTGCCAGAGATCAGGGCTGAATCCAATTCTCCAGTAAAAGTATGTTCTGTTCTCAGCAACCCCTTGTGAGGCACCAACTTTGTCTTGACATGAGCAGGTTTCTTGGACACTGCTGCCAACATGCTGAACAATGCTCTGCTAGGAACAAAAATTTTCACTTGCTTATCATCCTTGCCCCAGCTTAAATTGAGATGCAATTGAATATAAATTTCAGAAGCATTTGCCCAGATTCAGAAATTGTACCAATTACTCTTTGTTCTAAGTACTTGTTTTACTCTGAAAACACTAGCCCCCAGGGCATTGGGATGAGGAGAGAGTCTTACATACTAATTACAAGAAATTAAATCCAGAACAAATATCAGCTTTAATAGACTCTAATGTACTTAACGAAAACGTAAAGTGACTGCCAACAACAGCAGGATATGCTTCTTGTTTTTCGTATTATTCATCATTTGGTATCACTGTCCAAGCTCCTTCTGATTTGTGCATATTTTAATCATTTGGGCTTTTCTCATGCTTCAATCTCTTCTTCTCTCCATTTTTTTCTGTTCTTTCATGTCACTAATCTAATCTAATCCCCCTCCAAGGTGACACCACAAATGGAGCTAAAGAGCATTAACATCAGGGCTTTCAAATCACCTTATGCAGCAGTGCCTGTATCTAGATGCTTTGCAGCTCCCCTGGCTTCTCCCTCCCCACTGCTGTAAGTCCCACTTGCTGCCCTTCTCAAGACCAGTCTGACATTAACAGCTTCCAGGTTTCTAAAATCCATTCAGGACAGACCGTGGCCAGGAGTAGTCAACAGGAGTCTTTTGATGTCACTTGGATTTAGATAACGCTGCTAATCCCCATTTTAGGCTATATACTGCTGTTATCCTATCCTGATTTCTCCTCTGGCCAGAACTCAATTGGGGAAATGAGGAATCATTACAGAAAGCCCTTACCAACACAACAGAGAACACAAAGCAATTGTGGCTTAAATAAAGCTCCTGGAGATAATTCTGCTTTTGCTGCTTCTGAGGATTTTGCTTTTCATGCTTTTTGCCTCCATTTTTTATTTTATGCCAGCTCAGCCATCTACCTGCTAGCAGCAGGTTCCTCCTCACCCGTCTCCTGGCTGCTGGCAGCTAGGCTGCTGCAAGGAGAACTCAATTCCATTCCTTTCTATTGCTAAAATATGATAACACTCAGTTAAAAGCTGACTCAGAATGACCTCACCTACTTCAGCTCTCTCTGTCTTCCACATTCACTATCAGCAGGACTGAGTGATGTGGAAACAGGCAGCCAACAGCAGGTATTAGCATTTGGTTACTTGGTAACTGTTATTCAATCGATACATGCTTTACATTGTAGATCCCAGTGGCAGGATGAGCAGAAAGAAGGAGAAAACCTCAAGTGGAATAAACCTAATGATTTATGGGATATTTCCAAATTCAAAATGCGTGTTGAATCACAAATAATGACTTGCCTGTAATCTCAGGAGCCTAATTATGGAATAGATGTGGAATCGTTCTGTAATTATTTAGAAAGTTTGTTTCAGCAGCACAGAAATTCCCACTCTGTTTACTATACATCATCACAAGTGCACTGTGGCTGTTTGTAAAATCTACCTTGAAAGATAAAATGAATTACAGAGGCAATTTTAGGAAATGGAAACATGGATCCACGCTTTTTGCAATTCAGTGGATTCATGCCAGGGATGAATTGAGACCAGGTTCTTGAACAGAGTTAAATCATTTCTAGCCAGTCCCAACAGAGCAGAAACCTCACTGCCCTGCAGTGGGGACCTTTTCATAGTGCAAAATCTACACATTTTGTTGAGTGTTAGCATCTTTGTCTTAGAGAATGCTCAGCTCAAAAGCAGTATGAGCCCTTGCATGTTGGATATTTAGAATAGATGCCACAGCCTCAGGAAGATGCTCATCACCCAGAAGTATCTGCTACATTTAGATATACAGCCAGGATTCTGCCTTCAGAAGTAAATAGGAAATTGTAATAGTATAGAACTATAGGAAAATGTAAACTGATTGCTTTCAGTGAAACTGGCTACACACACACCAAGCATTGTAAGACCAACTGTCCATTCATTGTTTTGTCTCCACTGTGTTTCATTTTTCAAACTCCTCAAAAACGCCCCATTTTGGAGTGACAAACAAAAAAGGAATTAACAAGACCATTCTGCCACTGAACACACATGGAAATGCATGGTCCCAAGGACTGATTTTTGTCTTGAGATTGGGATTTACGCAGCGCTTTCTTTCCTGGAAGGTCTGAGGTTAGAAAAAGTGCCATATGACACCTCATGGGTGTTCATCACTTTTCAGCAGTAAATCTGTTCCTCCAGAGGCAGAAAAAGGAAGAAGGAACACGGCTAATGATGCTCTGTGGGGCAGTTCACCTTTTTGTTTCCTGATGTGTTCCCTGACTGATGGAAAATCACTCTTGGCAAACACAAAACTTACCTTGCTGCCAAAAGGTGCGTCTCTAAATTATTAATCAAGAGCACACCGAACCACGAAAGGTGGAATATTGAACAAAGGCTCAATTGACACTCTGGAAGTTGAAGAAGATATGGAAGTCTCACTTCTAATTTATTTATTCCTTTTCTGTTCTGTTATCCTGATATGCTGCTTCCAGTTACCTCTGCACCCCGCATTGTATGGTATTACGTGATTTTGTTTTCAGATTGTTGGAGATAAAGTTACTTCATTATTAATATATATGCACCATGCATATCCATAAATATTGAATATATACTTGTGTGTATAAACCTCCTGGAAGTGTTAATAGTTAAGATAAACTAAGTCCATTATCAAAATGAGTGACTATTTCTATGACCCTATTTGCAATAAAACCAGATTCAATGATATGAGAAAATTGCTAGGTTTCAAAATAATTGAACCAGACCACACGAATCCCCACAAAGGCATCATTTACAAAGTACTTTGCTTGTCTAAAATATTTATTCCTGCAGAAGGGAATGGAAAAAGAATTCACATGGTTACATAGCTATCCTCTGAGCGTAAAATTGTTTTATCATGTTATGTTTATTTCCTAAACATCTTCCATTGGAGTATTGCGTGAAAATACTGGCTGTGCAGTTAGTTCCTTTGTGTGGACTGTTCATATTTATTCACTGGAAAGTCAATCATGTTTTGTTCGGGCTTGTTTTATTTTTCTGCTGAGCAAACACTTAAGCAACCCTTTTCTTGTAAAAACTCACTTGCACGTACGATGTAAGCCACTCACAGTCGGCACTGCATAGATATTTGACATGTCTGCTTTCTCTCCTATGTAATACAGGAAGTAGTGAAGTTTGTCCTCAGAAGAGGCAATTTACTGATTAAGACTGCAGTGCATTGGTCATGCTTAAGGACTCATCAGTAGTTACAGACATTTTTAGTTTGTCTCACATTAAAAGCCTGGATAGTTTTTTACTATTAAATGGTCACAGAGAAATGCTTCCAAGCAATCTACAGGCAAAGAATTAGTCCCAGCAATTATCCACTGAATAAATCTGAATAATGCATACGTTCACAAAAGTCACTATCTATTTGTGAACAATTAGCAGAGAGAAATAGAGGTGACACTCATCAGCTAAATAATTCATTTATGAATTCTTTGTCCGGCTTTGGTTCTGACATATGTTGCATGAAATGACATCAAAGCTTCAAAGCAAAAGGAAATTCTTCCAACTTAAAGCAGTAATTATTTCCACATTGCAACTATTATTTGTTGATTGATTTCAGAAGCTAGCAAAGTTATTTTTTCATGGAGTTTTTCATTTCGTGCATTAAATTGTGTTTTATTCCTAATGTATATCCAATTTTAGGTTGTTAAACTGCAATCAAAAGCACTTAGTAGGAATGAATCTGTCTCTATTATGAGATTTGAACTCCTGACATCTTCATCCACTGGAACATGAGTGCCCAGGTAACTACAAATTATTCAAGCATTTACAACCATTACTATCAATAGAATTAATGCATTGTAGAAAAAGCAGTGAGAACAGTACTATTAAATGATCATTTTTAACATTTAGATAGCAATCTTTTATGAAAACATTTATAAGATGCCTTATTATGTTTCAATTAAATGAGCAGAAAAATTGTTTACATTTAAGGGGAATGTCTGGAACTGAAAAGAAGAGATTTCTGGAGTTGAAAATTAAAATATCCATTGTTTGAGAACAATAGGGAAAAACTAGATAGAACAACTATCTTTTTATGGGGGTTCTCAAGAGAATCTCAAAAAGATTTCAGATAAAATATTTTTAAAAATATGACCTCATTTTCAACAAAATTAGATTCAGTAGAAAAGGCAGGAATAGAGTTTGCCATTCAGGTCTCAAAAAGCTTCTGTGCTCATTTCTACTGTGTGCAGAAGAAGCTACAAAAACTTTTATGTGCCTTGATGGATGACTCTAGTAAAAATGAATGAGAAAATTTGTGTAGAGAAATTGTGAGTGAGATGAATGCTAGGCTTTGATTTCCCTCTTCCCACCTCCACCCATTTTTCTGGCCACATTATGCACATAAATTCTTTCTATTAATTAGTAGGAAGTAATTACAACAATGGGAACAAGGAGGAGCCAGAGAAGCTAGGTACCATGGTTTGGAAGGTTTTGTCACCTTCTGTCTAGGATCTACTCTCAGCAAAGTTTTGAAGAAAGAATTTTCCCTATTGAAAGCTCAGCTTAGGTATCTCAAAAATAACTGTTGTGAAACATTTGCAGGACACAACAGAGAGGGGATTTTGAGATCATTTTTCAAGCCCTGTGGCTGTGAGCCAGTTGCAGCATGAGGAAAAGCCCTCCAACACCCCAATGTACAGGAAAGAGAAGGTAAGGTCCAGGTAGATTTCAGATATGGTGCATTCAGTAAAGTGCCCCAGGCCAGCAAAATGCGTCCACTTCTACGCTGACACTGCTTTCACTCCTGGAAAGAACAAGGTTTGAGGACACTATCCCTTACAATCACTGTAATCTCATGCAGAGACTGGTTCCTACTGCCAAGACAAGCTGCATGCCACAGGGTAGGTGTAAAACAGTGTCTTGGTCTGAGCATGCACTGGTGTAACAGATTAAAACACTGGGGTCTTTCCTCCCACTCTGCAGCAAAAATTGCCCTTGTGAAAGGAGAAACGCCGGTGTTATTCCATGGAAGATTCCATCTGAGCTGGAAAATAACACAAAACTGTAGTTCCTTAGACAATTCACAGCAAATAAATAGCTCCAGGAAAAGAACAACAACAAAAAAAAGGCTCAAACTTGTGCTTCTTGTGCTTGTAGAGACAATAAAGCACCATATTTCAGCAGTCATGGCAGGTAATTCTAGCTGGAAATTGTATATTTAATGATGGCCAGCCTTCAGCATTTGACAACAGGCTATTGAAGCCTGTTGAACGGTAAATCACCTCTCTTCACCATCAATAATCCTATTGTAATATCTATAGAAATGTCTAAAGTTAAAATCTCATTTTATTACTATAATAATGGATCTAATTTGTAAAACATATGAAATGAGGACATAGCTGTATTGGAGGGAGATATATGTGAAGCCACTACATCTATATCTATTTCCTGATGGCTTTTGCCCACATATTTTTGAACAGGAGAAGGACTAAAATAAATGCCACTTGCATGATTTTGGGGAGTGGGTATGGCTTCTAAAAAGGAGACCAACAGATCATGGAAAAGGAATAATCTCCACAAAAAGAATGGTCTTGAATTTACATTTATGCATATGGATATGTAGGTGTTAATCCGTGATTTGCTCCATTCAGCCCTTTCCAATCGCCAGGGAAGCCCAGCTTTCCAGCTGCACATCCACTATTATCTCTACATACTATTTTTAGCTGCTGAGTACATTTCAAGCTACGTCATCCTTCCCAAGCCAACACTGGCATGAAGGGCAGAAATTCCTCTCTCCACTCCTCTGTCATCTGTCACAGCTCCCATCCCTTGGTGGCACTCCTGGCTCAGCCCTCCTGCGGAGGGATATCCAGGAGCTTCTCCCCGATCCTCCCTATTTCCTTGAATGAATTGCTTTCCAACTGAAGCTTCATGCAGGAGGCTTCATGTTAGCATCCAGAGTACATGTCCCAAGTATGCCCAGCCCCATCTTCTGATCCTAGTGCAGAGCAGCTCCCGGTAAGTAACGTCTTGATGAGTGATAGAGTCCTTGTGCTCAATGCCCAGAGCTTTTCACAGGTGGGTTGTTTATAGCAGCATATATTTTCCAACCTAACACTTTGGTAGGTTTCCAGTTCTTGTCATTGCATGTTGACACTGGATTGCAATGTGAGGGGAAAATGCATAATATTTTTCTGATGCTGTGTAGCTTTGATTTCCACAGGTTGTTAAAGCCTAGTAAATATCGTAAATGCCAAGTCTTGTTTAAGGTTTTTGCTGGCTAGGTGCTACCCAGCTATCTATCTGTTTAACCTTTTTTCTATTCTGAGGTGACATTGCTGAGAGCTTTTTGACAAATCTCATATGGAAAAAAAGTGTCTTGTAGGGTTATGAATCCCTTAAAATATAAGGTTTCGTTGGCTATGCCACAGGAGGACACATCACAGCAAAAGCTATGACCACTGCTGGTCTGAGCCGGGCATCTTGTGCTGTGCCTTCCTGAAACTGCTACCTTTTTCAACAAATAATTTAATATTCATTATGTCAGAAAGCACGTGTGCATGTGTGTGTGTATGTGTAAGACTACAGCAGAGTGATCAGGGCACTCACCTGATAGAAAGAGACCCTGTTCTCAGTGACTGCTCCAATGAATATTTAAGCATTTCACATTAAGTATTCATTGGCACAAGGATTGGAGCAGACCTCTTCCACCCCCAAGGGAGCACCCAAACACCAGGCTGCTAGGTCATTCTTTCATTCATTCTTTCTTTCTTTGTCCCAATGAATATTTAATTATTCCAGGCCAAACAAGATAGCTTCAGAGCAGAGATTGAGATTCCCCACTGTATAGGTCTGATGACTAAGGTGTGCATATAGGAGATGTGGGCTTGTATTCCCTTAGACTTAGAAGCTGAATCCAGGTCTCCTGTACTTTGTGTGTGCCTTCCAGCTTCTGAGTTGTTAGACAAAAAAAAACACAGATCTTCACCATTCTGCCCATGGACATGACACAGAGAGGTTATGGATGCTTGTATGACCCTAAGATCACAGAAAACATCCTCACCAGTGATATGCCATGCCAAAATCTAGCTTATTAATTCCTCAAGAGAAAGTATCAGTGCTGAAGATGATCCTCACTCCATGGCAGTTCCTGCTGTGTGTGTTATATGCCTTCCAGTTCAGTGGCCCAGCAGCTGTGAATGCTATTTTTAAATATAATTGTCTTGTGAATTATGTAGGCAGCATAAGTATTCTCCGGAAATCCATTCTGGTAAGCTTGATCTGCCCAGCAATGTCACCCCTAAATCCCTCTCTAGCTCCATCCCATAGTGGCATCTCTTCCAAGGCCAATGTGATCAGCAGGTGTTTGGTCATAGGAATATCTAGTATGTGATGCATTGGGAAAACCACAGGTTTTTCATTGAGTAGGAAAAAGACAAATGAGGATAAAGCAGAGCAGGGAAAATCCACAGCAGAAACAAAGAAAACATCTAGGAAATAATATTTTTTCTTGAGCAGAAGGAAATGAAGAGGTGTAAATGAAGGTGTGTAGAGAAGAGTTATGGAGAAAACAACTTTATCTTAAAAATAAAATGTGCAGAGTCTCTGCCACCCACTTATGTCCTCAAAAAGTAGAAAATTAGCCATCTGTTGCTCCCCTTCCTGACAAGAGTGGATGTATCTGAACTGAGATGCTTTGGATTCATTTTGGAGTTTGACATTAGGAGCATTCTGGGTGAGAACGAGGGATTTTTTTATTATTATTTCAGCTCTGTTTTTTGTCATTTGGCAGAATCCACAGCAACCTGATTTCATTATCAAAGACTGAGTGTGGCTTCTAAGCAAAAAATAGAACAGCAACACAATTGTGATATCGAAATGCAAACAATTACCTTCTCATACCCAATGGGATGGTGTCCAAACACAAGATTGCTGAATAGCTACAGTTGTTGAAATGGCAACACTGCATCCAAAACAGAGCTGCTCAGCTCAGAAAAGCACTTCAAAAGATGCTTCCAATTCATAAATCATATATTTCAAATCATATTTCTGTTCTTCTGCTCTAGTCTGTTGAGCAGCCACCTTCAATAGCATAGAGAAATCCTTTCTGAACACTTTTCTGTCTGTTACTTTAAATAAGATTTTTCCTGAGAAGACAACTTCAAAGTATTGAAGATATTTGACAGTGAATGAATGTCTATATTGCCTTATTATAATTTAAGTTATAAGTATTACAGTGATCTAACTGTAAACGTCACATCAGATGTGTTCTATATCATGCTCTTTGAGGGACATAGTAAAAATACAGGCACAAAACCTCAGAATTTCACTCAAAATTCATTACTCCAGCTTGAAAGCCTTGTTTTGTGTTTTGATCAACTCTTTAGACAGATGACAGTAGCTGCCCTCCTTCAATACTGAGGAAAAGGCCACCCGTGGACCAGGCTGTGGGGGAAAAGAGGAAAGCAGAGAGAAGGGTTCGATTTCGTGAGCCAGAAGAAGTCATTGAACATGGTATGTTCAAATTATTAGACTTCTGCCATGACTTGTCCTGTTCTTAATGTTCATCCTGTCTGTCACATCATCCTCCCCCTCTGCTTGTTTTATCTGTTATTTTGAGCCCCTCACAGAACAGAGGACAGATATCTTCTGCAATGCGCTTTACAGAAGTGCATCTGGTCCATCTGTGTGTCTGTCCTGGAGGAGAAAGTCATCCTCAGGCTGTTCTCATGGTGAACTGCCCCCTTTTGCAGGGACCAGTGCAGACTGCGGGCTTAGCTGAGCATCACCCCAGAACGATGCCTTCATTCACAGAAAAGGATCTCAACCAAATTTAAACATGGTTGTGTAAATCTGTGTAACTAGGATGCAATACCACACAGGGAGCTCATTTTCCATGTTTTTGAGTAGTTTTCATGCCAGAAGACAGAAGAGAAATGTTCTGAGCCCAGCCAGCCAGGGTTAAAAATCAGCCAGGACATAGCTACATCTGCAAAGGAGAGTACCCAAGGAACAAAACAACTAACCCAGCCACTGCACTTTCATTTGTGAGTCAAAATAACAGACTGCAGGTAGATCAACTGAGCCTGACCTCAGGCTGATGTCTAGCTCAAGGATCCAGTTTACACTTATGCACAAGCTATATACAACTCATAATCAAATAAGAATTGTTACCTTATTCTGCATTTCACAAACAGACCCAGCTAAGAAAAATGTGTTTATTGCTAAAGAGCTAAAATACTGCTAAAGAGCTAAAATTGTAATGTTTTGATATATCAGCTAGCAAAAACACAGGTGACAAATTTCTGTCAACCACCTGTTTGGACAGCTACTCAGCTTCTAAAAACAAGACTTGGCATCCATTTGTTGTGTTTGCATACAGACCTCTCGCTGGCTTAAAAGTATGCTATATCTGGTGCCTTCTAGTGCAGAAGTGAAAGCTGTTTCTTGATGAGGTTGTTGACACACAGCCTGGGCTTTCCTTTCCAAACTGAGTTCACAAATCAGTGAGCCAGCCTTAAATCCTTCAAGGCACATTTAGATGTGCATGACTAGGATTTTTATGTTTTTTTTTTTTTTTTTTTTTTTTTTT